CCTGTCTTCTCAAAAGTAAGCCCTATCGATTTAATCAAGATTTACTCAAGGAATTTGCGCATAGGATTATAGTCTAGGGCTGCATTCACAGTACAGAAATAATCCAGTATGACATCAATTTAACTGTCATGGCCCCATCCTATGGAATCCTGTGATTTGTAGTTTGCTAGAGCGCTCTGAAAGAGAAGGCTAAATATCTCACCAAACTACAGTTCCCAGAATTCCATAGCATTGGACCATGGGAGTTAAAGCTGTGTCAAACTACATTATTTAAGGCAGGCACTGTACAATATTTGGAGGCCTACTAGAAAGTCATCACTTGAATGGGGGAGTTTGAAAGGTGGGGAAAAACAGCTGTTGATATATGAGTCATTGCTTCTTCTTGGGGGTCTCCTTAGGCAGTGCAGCCTAGCCCTGAAAAGCAGACTTTGACTTAAAGGTATTCAACTCAATTTCTTTGCATGAGTTTGAGAAAATGCTATAACCCAGCAATGTTATATAGTTCAAGGAATAAGTAAGCATGAGCCTCAGTCACGCAATCCGTTGTGCGCTGCCACTTTGCTGAATGCATCCTGATGAAGCTCAGATCCCTGTTGGCTGAGGATAAGTTGATGATGGTGTTAAGGCTGAGCTAGACATGAGGCAGGAAATCTGTGAAAACCATCTCCAGCTTTCATTTATTAAAAAAGGAAAAGTTAATAGCAGGCATGTGTGTGTGTGCATCTGTCTCTCTGTGTGTATAGACTCAGACTGAGACTGAAATGTTGCTAGAAAGGGGAGAGTGTGCTAATCCTCTCGTCCACTAGACTTGCAGCCTATTTCTTCTATCATGCAATTGTTTCATATTTAATAGTAAAACATAACATTCCTTTTCAAGTTGATTTAATACATAATAAGGATGTAATATATGTGTCTTCTTAAAACACAGTCCTACTTTTCGAAGACTTTCTGGTGGCACTTCTAACATGCAAGCACACACATTTTTCCTGAGACAGTTTTCCTGACAGACTTCATGCAAGCTGCCTTTTGCCCAAGTGCAAAAAAGTAAAAAATAAGATAATTTAAAATGTAAAGAATACAGTTGAGAGTAGGATCTTGAAATGGACGATGGGAAAAACAATACAACACAGAATTTCAAAGCAACTTCAATATGCAACATAAAAATGAAAAATTCAGGTGATGTGATCTAAGACATCACATATCATTTCAGCCCTAAGTGACCACAGCTTTAGAAAATTTGATTTTGTATGTGTGGATGGGAGTGGGGTGGAATTGTAAGTCCCATAACCACTTGCCATGCTGTCTACAGGATTCTGCAGACTGAACTGTAGGATTAGGTCTGCTGTAGATTCCAACTAGAGTCCAAAAATGCAACTATTCCAAACTCTGCAAGAGACCTGGGAATTTTAAAAACATATCCCTAACATCTTTCCAAATGGGGATCTGATATGCTCAGTCATTTAGAGATAGATTAGAGAACACTGGGACAACTGGAGCATATGCATTCTGATACTAATGTGGACAGGGAATAGGACACAGTCTTAGCCATTTTCAGAAGGGACCTGATGTTAGGAGAAGTTTTGCTTTTCCTTACCAACTTAATTCTTGTTTCTCTCCCCCCCCCCTTTCTCTTTATTCTTCTTTACCTCCATTTTTTTCTTTTTCTCTACCTTATGTCTCATATGCTCAATATCAAATCAACAAAACATTCAAAGGAAATATTTTTTTCAGCTGTCACAGCATTAAACAAGCGTATTTTTTCCTTCTGAAAGCATCAGAAATGCAACCGAGAGAGCTTGTGCTTCCAAAAGTAGTAACTGCCTTTTCAGCTGAAACAGAATCTCCTTCTGTCAGCAGTAATGCCACCTCAGATATCCTTCCCAAAGCATCCAGTTTGCTATGACATCTATAATTTATTCACCCCATGATGCACGCACCATCTACATCTACTTCAGTTATGCCTTTGATAAGCCATTAACTTTAAAATGTATATATAATGTAACCAGTCCCCAGGTGAGAAGTTTAAAAGTTAAACAGTTTGCATTTCCAAGAGTGAAGCAGACAGAGAAAAGTTTTTGGAGCCACAAAATCTGTATTTTTTGTTGTTGTGTACCTTCAAGTCATTTCTGACTTATGATGATCCTAAAATGAATCTATCACACAGTTTTCTTGGCATGTATGACTTGCTCAAGGCCACCCAGTAGGTTCCCATGGTTGAGCCAAGATTTGAACTCTGGTCTCCCAGTGTCCTAATCCAACAGTCAAACCATTACAACATGCTGGCCTTGAAGTGTCTTTTGACACTTGGATAATTAAGGTGATTTTCACTTTGGCTATCCAGGTGAAGACAGTCTCTTTCACAGACAACAGTTTTGACCACATGTTGTCAGACTGCATCTTCCAGTAGTCATCATCATTGGTTATACTGGCTAGGGTTGCTGGGAGTTATAGTCCAGCAATGTATGAAGGGAAGTACTTTTACTTTCCTGCTCTAGGAAGTGGGCAACTCCTTGGAATGGGATTCAAACTGGTTAATCTACAACCTTGGGCAACCTGGCATCCAGGTGATTTCTGTAAGGCTGAGTTATGGAAGGATTTTGTTAACCTCTACAGATCTGGGAATCTACTCTCTTATGAATTATTTCCAAAAAGGGATGAAGGGTTGGAACCATCACAATATTATTTTTATCCAAACACATACACAAGGAGTGAGAACTTCTACATTAACCAAGAACAGGCTGTAGGAAAATGAACATAGGGCAATATGAGGTAAGCAGAAAAGAAATTTCAATAATGTATCTTGGTCTGTGCAGAGTAGATCTCAAACTTTTATGTCTTTTTGGAACATTGGTATACATACAGCTAAAGGTAAAAGTATTCCCAGTTGACAAGGTTGTCATGTCGTGTCCAACCGTAGGGGGCGGTGCTTATCTCTGTTACTGAGGGGGGAAGCAGACTGGCGGCTCTGCGCTGCCCCGGGAAGGTGCGCCGCAGGACCAAGGCATCTCTACGCCTCGTTCCTGCGGCACTCCCTCGCCGCCCCTGAAAGGAGCGCTAAATCAGCGCTCCTTTCAGAAGTCAGCGAAAGTGCGCCCCAAAAGGTTGAGGCACACTTTTGCTGGCTTTTCCGCCGCAGCGTGTGCGGATGCTGCGGTGAGAGGTTATCCCCGGAGCGCCGGCCGTGCGGAGGGCCGGCGGCTCCGAGGGCAACCTCGGGAGGAGGAAGGGGTGCCGAGCGTGCGGCTGCCCCTCCTCTTCCCTGCCTCAGAGACGGCTCAATTAGCCGTCTGCCGAGGCCCTAACTCAAAGAGCTTAGTCTTCAGAAACTACTCTATGATCATGTGGCTGGCATGATTGCACAGAACACTGTTTACCTTCCCACCAAAGTGATACCTATTTGTCCATTTGCATGCTTTTGAACTGCTAGGTTGCCAGAAGCTGGGAGTAGTGATAGGAACTCACCCCATCATGCAGCACCCAGGCCTCGAACTGCCAACCTGCCGATCTTGAAATCAATAGAGTCAATGTCTTAACCACTTGAGCCACTGCATCCCTTACATACATACAGCTAATGCATAGCAATTAAGATAGACAAATCTTCGGTTTTGATTCCCCCCCCACAAACTCACATACATTTAGGTGAATTTTAGGAAATTCTGATCAAAACCTAAATCGGGTGAAAATCTCCTCTCTTCCTAAGGAGTGATCATATATGTCAACTTTGCTTTCTTCCTCATTTTTAGTGATTGTTGGTAAATCCTAATTAAAAGCTAACCAAGTCAATGTCATCCTCCTTCCAAACACAGCAGTGGCATTCATATATCTCTTCAAACATTCAAAGTGAGTCATTACATCACTGCAGCAATCCTTACAGGAACTGCCTAAAAACAAAGGGCCCTGCCTTACTTCTGGTCAGATATTTGGCCTCTCTTGTTCAATTTTGTCTCTGACAGAGCTACAGAAGAGTGAATGTGGTCAGTGGCATCACTAGGGTTGATGCCATCACATTGCAGTAAGTCATGCTATCACCACCCAGGCTGCCTGGCACACAATCCAGCCACCCCAGTCCACCAGCCAGACCACCTCTGCCATGGTGGTGGGGACTGAATGTTGCTATCATCTGGCAGCCCCTTCTGGGTGTGCTGGGGCTGCTGACCAAGCAGGAAAGGGAGGCAGAAGTGGCAAGGAAAGAGGAAGAGTCTGTGGGTACCACTGCTGCTGCCATCTCCCTTTCCCAACCAAGTCAACAGCCCTGCCAGACTAGGAAGGGCTTCCAGATGGCAGCAGCACCCTATCCCCACCAGTGGCCACAGAGAGCAGATGGCAGAGGCTCCCTGGCTGGCACAGGGCAGTGGCCAAGGGGTCTTGGGACAGACAGTAAGTGACCACCCCACTGGGCGCTTGCCCCTCTGAGGTATTACCTGATGCAGTCCACACCCCATGCACCCTCTAGTGATGCCCCTGAATGTGGCACTTTTGTTTGCAAAGCATATACACTATCCACATACTAAGCCTCTCGTTGATACTGATCCATTAAGGCAGAACAATATTGTCTCCATACTATGTGAGTTGGTGGGGTGAGGTGGGAGGAAGCTGAAGAGAGCTTACCTAAGACCACCTTGAGAACATGAGTCACCAACTGAAGTTGGTGACATTTGAACAGAGGACTTCCTGGTTCGCAGGTCAAGCCACTTAGCTCCTACCCCTCTTTTCAAAGTCTTTGAAGGCTTCATAATCTAAAGGAATCTATCAGCTCCTGCACAAGATATTAAACATGGTCCTGCATCCAGATTTTTGATGGTGCTGCTGGCAGCATTTCAGTACCAAATGGGTTTGGAAACCATATTAAATAATGCTGAACTCAGCCATTACACTGATTGTCCAAATGCATTCAGTTCCACAGACTAATGTTAAAATCTGTATCTCTAACTTTATATAAAGCTTGCTCACAAGGAGCTCCTTCTGATGCTCCCATGTGAACAATGTTAATGTGTAACAGAACCAGAGTGGTGTAGTGGTTTGAACATTGGACTATGACTCCAGAGATCAGAGTTAAATTCCCTGCTCAGCCATAGAAAACCCCAGAAAACTCAATGATAGGGTCACCTTAGCAAAAGCAAAGCAGCTTCATTTATATACCGCTTCATATCGTGCTATGGGATGTCTAAGCAGTTTACAACTGTAAGCTCATTGCCCCCCAACAGCTGGGTACTCATTTTAGCGACCTCGGAAGGATGCAGGCCTGAGTCTAGCTTGAGCCCTGTCTAGTATTGAACTCACAACCTTGTCGTCTATGAGTGAGTGGCTGCAGTACAGGCATTTAACCACTGCGCCACCATAAGTTGGAAATGACTTGAAAACACACAAGAAGAAGAAGTTTCCTTTTGTCACTACTCTCCTTCACATACACTTGTATGACCCCCAGGTATATTTATTCTTAACTGGGAGTTTCACTAGGAATGAGACTAGGAATGGGAAAGGCAGCAATGAAAGGACTAGACAAGATAATAAAGAGCAAAGATATACAATTGAGCATTAAAGAATAAAGTTGTTGTTGTTGTTGTTGTTAAGTTAGAATCACCAAAGCCATTGTATTCCCTATCACCATGTACAGATGTGAGAGCAGGACAGTGAGGAAAGTGGGTAAGAAGAAAATCAACTCATTTGAGATAATGTGGTGCTGGAGAAGAGTGCTGAGGATACCATGGACAGCCAAAAAGACAAACAAATAGGTCTTTGAACAGATCAAGCCTGAAATACCCCTATAGAAGCCAAGATAATCAAATTGAGGCTATCATACTTTGGCTACGTAATGAGAAGGCACAACTAATTAGAAAAGACAATAAAGCTAGGGAAGATAGAAGGTAAGAGAAAAAGAGGAAGACTGCACATCAGATGGCTAGACTCAATTAAGAAGGTCATGGGCATGAATCTACAAGACTTAAAGCAGTGGAGGACAGGGGGTCTTGGAGATGTCTCATACACAAAGTTGACATGAGTCAAGGTTGTCTTCAGGGCACTTAACAACAACAAAGGGTTTCACTAAAATAAATAAATAAATAAATAAATCTTGGTATGGTTTGCACCAAAAAAAAAACAAAAAACCCCCAAACCCTTGGTGTGATTTGCAACATTTCTTCCTTTTCAGATTGAGCAGTTTGGGCCTCTTTGGGCCTTTACAGACTGCCAGAAATAATGCAGCTTGAGTCCACTTTAACTGTCCTGGCTCAGTGCTAGGGAATCATGGGAACTGTAGTTTATTGTTGCACCAGAACTCTCTGACAGAGAAGGCTCAATGTCTCAGAAAAAAAAAATACAGTTCCCATGATTCCCTAGCACTGAGCCACGGCAGTTAAAGTGGACTCAAGCTGCATTATTTCTGGTAGTCTCTAAAAGCCCTTTGTGAATTTTAATTCAAGAACAAAAGAGATGAGGTGCTTTGTTTTTAATTGCTTTGCCTCTTCCCCCCCCCCCCACTGCTTCCAACAGTTATTGTGCTTTATATACATAGCTCTCGGGGACCTTGTGTGAAGGGCGCCATATAAGTGTACAGATAGGATTGGCTGAATAATTCTTTTTGACTTCATCAGTCTGTTAATCCTGCATGCCTGTGGTGATAAACCCAGAAAATCCCTGATAATCCTATATAGTATTCAGACAGGGCTGGCAACAGCTATAAATACATATCAAACTGTCAAATACCATTATCATTTAGACAACTCGGCAGCCCTTTCCAAATTACATTAGAATATCCAGGCTTGACTTAATGTTCCCACTCTCCCTCCTTCCTTCCCCCTATTTCTCTTTCTCCTTGCTTAATAATAGGGAAATGCAAACTGCTTAGGTTGTGAACATAATAATGTATGTTTACAGTATGCCCAACTGTTCTGCTACAGAATCTTGTTTATTCCAGCTCTGCTTCCATATGACTTACAGGCAGAGAGAGCAGTTGAAATTCTGCAGATAAGCAAATAATTCTTGGCAGTTTTCAAAACTAAAGGATTCCACTGCCAAAAGGCGTCTGTTTACCACACAAAACAAATGTTGTTCCAAATGCAATTTCCAAAAAAGAAAAAAAAGGCATCTTAAATATATCCTTTCAGGAAAATGTTCATGCAGCTTTAAAACTCTAATTAGATGTATAACAAAAATAACAAAAAAGATTTCTCACACCCTTCCCCCCCTTTACAATTTTAGCTTGGCTAATAACCAGCGATAATAAATAATAGTTTAGTCCCTGCTGTGTTCTGCGGCAACACGGCATTGCACAGAATTATAATTACCACGAAATGGAAAATCCATGGAAAAGGATGTAAAGCCCCAGCCCCCATTGTGTCCTTTTAATTCCCCCCCATTGGTTAGGTGGAGGGGGGAAGAGAAGTACTTGCTATGTATAAATGTCCTTGGGTCTGATTTTCTTCTTAATTAATCCAGTGTGGTTCTAAAATAATTCCACTGAGGTCAGTGGAATTACACCAACTGGTACAAGCAACTTCGAAAACTACACTCTGCCCATATTTAAAAGGATTAGATTCATTTGGGGTACTAATGGGAGGTCATTTTTATTGTGTTTTGTCTTTATATACTTAGGCTTGACAAGCCAGAACTCTGCAGCATTAGTGTACAGGATTACTTTGCTCCTGTACAACCCAAGTACATGCATGAATGACTTCCCAGGTGCCTGAGGAGAATCCATTTATATATTTATCAGGTACCATTTGTATACTTGCAGGGCTCGTCACAGGATTACCAGACCCAAGCTCTGAATTGGTATATTAAAATTTTAGTGAACCAACCTGCACATGGGCTATGTACATAGAGGGTGCATCCACCCTGTAGAAATAATGCAGTTTGACACCACTTCTGCTGCCATGTGTCCATCCTACAGAAATCTGAAATTTGTAGGTTTGTGAGGCACCAGCACTCTTTGGCAGAGAAGTCTAAAGACCTTGTAAAGCCAAATCCCAGGATTCCATAGGAAGAAGCTATGACACTTAAAGTGGTGTCCAACTGCATTATTTCTACAGTGTAGATGCACCCAGAGATACAAACACACACAAACCATGGGCTGGAAAGTTATTTCTAAAATGTAATTAGTTATAGTTAACAGGCTCCCCAAACTAATTATGTACCATTACAGTTTTAACAATTGAACCTTTTACTTTGGGCTTCTCCATTTCTTGGAAATAAATAATTACTCTTTTGATACTTTCAGAAATCTGAACGTTATTAGAGACTGGCTTATGTTATGTAATAGATTCTCCTCCTGTCCACTTCATTGTCACCTCATCACTCTCGAAGAGAAGTCACCATATGAGCCATCTAATATTCCTGAACTATTTCATAAACACAACCCCATAAACAAAATGTAACTCAAAGTCACAGTTACATCAGAAACAGAATAAGTTTATCTCCTGTTAAGTCATAATTATAAAGTAATATAGATATATCTTTGTTTTTGACAAAGGGATTAATTACAAATAGCAATATGGCCATAACAATGGTAATTTCACTTACATTTCTATACCACTTTATAGTGCTAAGCACTCTCTAAGCAGTCTACAATGGAGGTTATCACATGGCCCAAAAGGATGGGAGCGAAGCAGATCGCTCCTGTCCTTATTGCACGATTGCCGTGAAAGTTTACCACACATGTTGCACTTATCCCGTCCTTCTCCCATCAGTGAAATGGAATGGCCTCCTCATTTTGTATTAATGGGAGTTTCCATTAATACAAAATGATGGGGCCATTCCACTTCACTGATGGGAGAAGGACAGGATAATGACAGGATAACCACAAGGCCATATGATAATCTTCGCTCAATCACATGATAACAGCAGGAGCATCCCACTTCGCTCCTGTCCTTTTGGGCTGTGTGATAATCTCCAGTGTGTTAGCTAATTGCCCCCAACAAGCTGGATACTCATTTTACCAGCCTACAAAAGGATGGAAGCATGAGTCAATCTGGAACCCTGCAGGATCAAACTCATGTTTTGGATGCAGTAGCAGCATTTAACCACTGTGCCACCAGGGTTACTGTGGTTATTTGTACTTATTTGTAGTGGCTATTGCATGCCTTCAAGTCATTTCTGAGTTAAGGAGGCCCTAAGGCCATGTTGCACCAGGGCACAGCAGTCACCAGTGGAAGGAGTGGGGGCCGGGCAAGCCTGGTGTGCCCCGGTTGTCACAGCCCAATGTGCCCCAGGACAACTGCCCACAGCACGGAGGGGTGGGGAGGTGTGCACTGCCAGATGGCTCAGTTCTCCTGCTGAAAACCGGGAGGCTGCAAGAAGCCGGCCAGCAGTGCCGCATTCTGGCCAGAAGTCCCAGCCCCTTGTTGTGGGGTTCCGGGAACTGTAGTTGTTTCTTGCTGTGTGCCAACCCTTCCCTGGCAGCCGGAGTTTGTCTCCCTGTTGGTAGGGGACTGTTGTTGTTGTTCTCGTTGTGTATCTTCAAGCCGTTTCTGACTTAGGACGACTTTCAAGGTTATCTGGACAAATTCCTTCAAAGGTGGATTGCCAGTGTCTCCCTCTGAGGCTTTCTCATTTCCCAACCAGATCATAGCTGGGAAGTTGAAAGAATTTTTGAAGCAGCATTTAAATCTGGACTATTTTTAAAAAAGTAAGGTCCAAAAACACATCAGAAATAATCCAGTCTGAAACTGCTTTAACTGCCCTGGCTCAATGCTAGGGAATTCTAGGAACTGTAGGTGTTTGTTGCTATGTGCCTTCCAGTCATTTTCAACTTATGGTAACATTAAGGCAAACTTATTATGGGAGTTTCTTGGCAAGGTTTGTTCAGAGGAGGTTTGCCTTTGCCTTCCTCTGAGACTGAGGGAGTGTGGGCCCCAATGGGAGGACAAGAAGAGCAACCCTTGGAAGGTAAGAGAGCATAATGTCCTCTACTTTGAGCCAGGATCACCAGCCATCCTCCTTTTCCAGGACAGGACCTCCCTTTCCACCTCCTTCTGACCAGGAGGAATTTCAAAAGGTCCTCCATTTTGATCCAGGTGACCTGTTCAGAGGGGGTTTGCCATTATATTTCTCTGAGGTTGAGAGAGTGTCACTTTCCTAACGTCTCCATATATAAATGTTAATTCATGCTTCTTAGCCATGCTCAAAATGGGGTATGTTCAAGAAAAATGGAGGACATGACAACATAAAAGCTAAAAACAGTCATAAATATAAATTCAGTTTGTCAGGTTTATTTACATCTATATTGCATATTGTTGTTGTGCCTTCAAGTTTTCAAGACTTGTTCAGAGGGGATTTTTGCCATTGCCATCATTTGGGGTTGAGAGACTGTGACTTGCCCAAGGTCACCCAGTGGGTTTCTACTCCTGAGCTGGGATTTGAGCCCTGGTCTCCAGCGTTCCATGCTCAAACCACTGCACCATGCTGGCTCTCTGTGTGGAGGGGTACGGTGGTAGAGGGCCTTCCCACCTCTTTCTATCCTGGAAGGAGTCCAAAAGGTCTTCCATTTTGGCAAGATTGTGGTTGTTTCTGATTTATTGCAAACCTCTTGCAGGGTTTTCTTGACAAGGTTTCTTCAGAGGGTTTTGGGGGGGGCATTGGCTGCCCTCTGAAGCTGAGAGAGTGTGACTTGTCCAAGGTCTCCCAGCGGGCTGAGCTGGGATTCGAGCCCTGATTTCCAGAGTCGCATTCTCAAATCGCTGACTCTCTTTGTTCTTGTTACTGTGTTGTGCCTTCTGTGGTTTATGTGTTTGTTGTTGTTGTGGCTGCTGTGTGCCTCCAAGCTGTTTTCAACTTATGGGCCTAGAGCACCCTCCCTCCCTTCTGAGCGCCGGTTTCTGGTGACCCTAAGGTGAAACTATCATGGGGCAAGCTTTGCCAAAGGGGGATTTCCATTGCCATCCTCTGAGGCTGAGAGAGTGTGACTTGTGTGTGTGGTGCCTTCAAGTCATTTTCGACTTATGGTGACCCTAAGGTGAAACTATCATGGAGTTTTCTTGGCAAGTTTCATCAGAGAGAGGTTGTTATGGCTAGACTGAAGCTGAGAGAATGTGCCTTGGGCTTTTCCCCTGGAAGTTCCACCCCCAGAAAGTCCCGCCCCCTGGAAGTCCTGCCTTGGTACTTGGTGGCACCCGGTGCAGGAATGGCACTGAATTTGGGCACTCGGTCTCTAAAAGGCAGGGGTAGGCAACCTTTCCCCTTTAAGGGCCGAGGGACTTCAGCTCCCAGAATCCCAGGAGCTATTGATCAACATGGGACTATTGGCCAACATGGCTGAGGCTTCTGGGAGCTGAAGTCCCTTGGCCCTTAAAGGGGAAAGGTTGCCTACCCCTGCCCTAAGGTGAACCTATCATGGGGTTTTCTTGCATGTTTTGTTCAGAGGGGGATTTGCCTTTGCCTTCCTCTGAGACTGAGAAAGTGTGACTTGCCCAGGGCTACCCAGTGGGTCTCCATGGCTGAGCAGGAATTTGAATCCTGGGCTCCAGAGTCACAATCCAGTGCTCAAACCACTATACTATGCTGGGCCCCTTCAGGGTTTTTAGGCCTAATTATCTGTAGGCCTAAATGCTTTAAAAGTGCCAGATCCCATCTGATTTTGGAAGCTATTCAGGGTCAGCCCTGGTTAGTACTTGGATGGGCCAACATCTACCAATGCTGTAGGTAGTATTTCAGAGGAAGGAAGTGGCAAAACTCTATGAAATTCATGGGGTCATTATAAGTCAACAGCTGACATGAAAGCAAATGTCCACCCACACTTATTTATAACTGGTCACTTTCAGGGTCTCCATGTAATTTTTCTTTCCTTTAGTATTCCAAGAAATTCTGTTCTCAGTTCAAGGTAGGCAACACAACCAGAATAGTATGGTTGTTTCTTCTGCAAAGTGATTTCCCTCATTAAATGTTTGACTAATTTGTCACAAGGGAGAATCCACCAATGTAGTTATTTCTTATAACACTGTCACCAGGAGGTATTCCTATGGAATGGCTTACTAGAGAGTATTTTGATATAGTACCATTCAATAAACCTTAGCAAACTAAGGAACGCAAAACATCCCAGGTTGGCATCTCCAGTCAGGTAGCAAGTGATCTAAAAGACCACTGCCTGAGACCCTAGAGTGCTGCTGCCAGCCAGCACAGACAATACTGAAGGACTATACAGATCAACCAAAATGGCTGGCCTGGGGGTGGAATCGAAGCGTGGCAACCACACACCAGCCTCTGCCCCAACACCACGCGCCCCACCGCAAGGCAGGCGGCATCAGAGCACTCCCTTGGCACAGCATTCAGACACATTGCACCAAAGGAGTGTGGAAAAGCCACCGCCGTGGCAGCAAGAGCAGCTTTTTGCTGCTCTAAAAAGTAGCGGCTTTTGCCAGTTCTTTTTAGAGCAGCCAAGTGCCGGATTGGGGCTGCACTATGTGGTTGCCACAGCCCGGATCCAGAAAGGAAAGGGGCAGTGGGATGCCACCCCTTAGGGGCTGTCGATACAGCCCCTAAGTTAGATGGAAAAATGGTCTCCCTTAGTGTAAGCTATTTTCCTGTGACTTTTGACACACAGGAAACCATACTGGTTAGGGAATTCTTGGAGATATAATTCAGATAGTACCTTTTCCAAGCTCTGGTCCCATTGCAATTAAAAACAAGCTCTTGTTTTATCACGTTAATAATCAAACAAGCTTTAATGGTTAATGCTGATTTTATCACATCTTTTTTACTTTCATTGCTCTTTCAATGCTGACCTTGCTGTGTATATATCTGTTCCTTTTTTAAGACTTAAAGTATGTACCCATAATAATATCAAGAATGAATACAGCCTAATTGAATATTATATATATAGAATAAATGTAATAGGCTTATATTTATTATCTGGTTTTTTTCAGAAGCTTCTCTTCTACGTGAGAAAACTAAGCAGCGCCTTGCTATGTCCTACAGCCATAAAGCTAAAATAAAGCTTCACAGCTGAACCCACTTCTCACAGTATGCTGTTTATCTGTGGCATTTATTTTAGTTATAGCTTTTGTTTTATTTGCAACTAACATACTGTCAGAGCTCTAACTACATTTGACATTTTTATTCCTCCAGCAGCAAGAACATTTAAATTGGCTATGTATGAAAAGGTGAGAGTATTGCAATAGCTTGGAAACCATCATCCAACAACTAAGCTCCTGTTGCATATATTTTATGTTCATCCACTAGTGTGCTTTTTTTCTGTGCATGTATGTGAAGAGTGAGAAGAGGACAAATGGCTCCTAGGTATGCTAAATTTTGCTGAAGAATTAAATATCATGTATCCATCATATTCATCCAAATATCCACCATATTCAACCAAAATCAAAAATGGGGTGTACATTCATTCTGTGAAAGGATCACATGAACCTACTTAGGACATGTAATTCAGTCCTGTTCTCCTACTGTCATTCTGTCTACTTCATGGTGGACATTGTGTGAATAGATTCAACCACTCAAAATGTCAGGGGCTCCTCAGACACTCTGGGGGACGGGGAGAATCAGAATTGGGGGTAAAAGGAAGCCTTGAGTCAAGGATATATTTCAGGAGAATAGCCTCCTGCTTTCAGTCCAGGTTAAACAGTTCTGCTTGAGTGATGATACATGGTCCTAAATGCTCTCACTTTGCTTCTCCTACAAAGCAGAACAGCTGAAAATACCACATTTTTACTTCATTGACTGGGTGTTTGATAACATTCTCTCCAAAGAAGCCATGGCCATACACCACCATGTTCTCTGACCATGAGATGCCAGATTCTAGTGTTGACATATTTTCCTTGGCCTTGCCTAATGAACTCTTCTGCTGAACAAATGGGAGGAATTACATTGAATCACCTCAAGACTTTGGTATTGCCTATGCTTGTTCTCTGCTGACCCAGAAGGCAGAAGAAGTTCCGGATAGTGAAATTATTGGAGGGAAGACTGAGCATCAGTTGAGTATCTGGAGACACTTGTTAGGACGCATTCTTCAAAAGTGGAAACAATGATATAGAACTGGGGTGGGGATTGTGTGGCCTTTATAGGTGAAAAGATTATTCAAAAATATTTGAAAAATGGGAAGAAGAGGAGGAGGAGGAGGAGGAGGAGGAGGAGGAGGAGGAGGAGGAGGGAGGTTGCTTGCTGAATGTCAAGAAACCTTGATGGGAAGAATCTTCACAGTTCAGGACTTATTCAACACAAAATTCACTTTTTTTTTTTTTTGTCTTGGGTTTTCTGTATAAAACAACTGTATGCAAATTTTGCAGAGAATAAATCCCAAACTATTGAAAACTTTCTCACATTGGGAAGAAAACTGCTTAAATTACTTTCTACTTCTTTTGAGAAAATAAGAAAAAAAAGGGAAAAAAAAGATTATACCCCTAGTGGTCTTTCTTCGGTTGTTGAACTGCAACTCTCAACATTCCTCATTATTGTCTACATTGACCAGGCTGGGGTGTAACTATGGGGAAAGCAAACTGAAGGCATTGCCCTCTATAAAGATGTTGCTTTCCCATGAAATTTTCTTTCAATACCTACATTTCTAGCATTGCAGAGGGTGAATCACTGAACATTTTCATCAGCTTTGAACTCTTGTACTTGGTGTGTTGGCACTCCTTTGCTAACTTTATCTGCCCCTTTTCTTTGGATACCTAAACTGCATTTCTGAATGCTCAGTTGAAGTTACTACAATGCTAGAAATTTGTAGAATAAAGGAAAATTTCATGGGGAGTTTCAGAATTCTTATCTGGAAGACAATGCTCCATTCCCCCTCCCCCCCCGGCCAAAGCTGATGAAAATTGCAGGGAGTTGCAGCCCTTGAAACAGAGACCTGATTCTCAGTGGAGATCTTTACAAACAGATAATGGGTATCCATTATTGGGGGAATCTCTGGATTTCTTGTACCAAAGAGGAGGTTATACTAGATTGCTAGAAAGACCCCTTGTATGATTCCAACTCCACTATTCTTCTCTCCATTTCCAGTATGAAGAAGATCTCAAGAAAGTCTTGCAAGAGGCTGGAAATGTTATACAATTCACAATATACCTCAGCAAGATGCCCAGTGGTCATGCTGACTGGGGCATTCTGGGTGTTGTTGTGTGCACACTAACTTTTCCAAGGTCCAATTTTGTGCATGAGGAAATGTTATAATAAATCCCTGCATCCCCTACCTTACTCTTCCTCAGCTTTATATGATGTCTAATGCTGCATTGGAAATGTTGCAAGACTCCAGAACACTTGTGTTGCTACTAAAAGAAAAGTTGGCTTGCTAGAAAGACTCTCATCTTGAAAATACTGGTTTTCCCTCAAGTTGTGACATCTTCAAAGGAGCCAGCATTAAGAATGACAGCCACTTCAATTTAAACAGAAAGCCCAATGAGAGTTATGGCTGTCTTTGGGAACTGCAGGCGGGCCCCACAGTCAAGAAAGCTTCACAGTCATTGCCCTTCTTTTTTGTAAAAGTCCCCAAGTAACTGGCAGTGTGACAGAAGCAGGGGGGATTTTTATTTTATTTTCACTTCTTTGCATTTCAAAACTGATAACTATTTCTTAAACGCTTTGCCAAAGGCATTAAATCAGTGTCTGTCCATTGTCAAGGGCCTCTGTTTATTGCTAAGATGTGGTGAAGAAATGTTATCAGAAAAGTTGCTGAATTCTGTATGACCATGTGAAACACTGCGTGGAAGAGGCTGAGGGCTCATTCCCACTTAGATTTAACCTGGTTTGCAATTTGCTTTTGCTCCGGGTTGGTGAATCGATTCCAGTCAATGCATTGTTCTCACTATGGAAGAGGGTCTTTTCTTTATTTGCTTCTTTTTTGCCATGACTGTCATTCCCACTACTTTGTGCCCCTTCAAAATGCCTGTCAATCATCTATGCATCATCGGTGACACAACCGGCAACACATTCAAGAAAATACAGGAGGGAGTCATAGGTGCTGTGGCCAAAATCCCATCCCTCATTAGTATCCCATCCCTCACTAGATTATGGGGAATTCCACCATTCCCCCCTCCTTTCCCAGGACCTGTCCTACATTCCAACCTTCTGTCCAGGAGGAATTCCAAAATGCCCTCCATTCTGAGCTTGACTAGGAAGCATGTTCTCCAAGTTCTGCAAGGCTGGGAGGGCACCGCTTCAAATCCCCATGTCCTCCAGGTCCCCTGGGATGCCTCAGCCATGGGTGTCATATGAAGGACTCTTCCCTGGGATGCCTCAGCCATGGGTGCCATAAGGAGGAATCTCCCCTGGGTGAGTTGATACTATCCCAGCCTTTCAGAACTTGGAGAACATGCTTCCTAGTCAAGCTCATAATGGAGGGCGTTTTGGAATTCCTCCTGCACAGAAGGGTGGAATGTAGGATGGGTCCTGGGAAAGGGGAGGGGAGAAATGGTGGATTTCTCCAAAAACTGGTTAGGGATGTGCCAACTTTCTGTCACAGTAATCCCTACCCTTCAGTTTGATGAGATTCAGGTCCTTCGT